ATAAGGCTATATTCTTAACTGGCATCTCAAAGTGGCTTTCAACCTTCAGGAACTTCTGTTTTTCAATCTCAAATTCTTTTCTAGATTCCTTCCTGCTACCTGACTGCCAAACTCTACCAAAATTAGGAAGCCAGTTAGCATCACAATCACTCTCCACAATCTCCCCTTGTTTCTCTTTCTCCAGCTCCATCTTTCGCTTTTCAGACCAAGCAGCCCCAACCCTTTTTGGATTCAACTTACGGGATTTCCATGACTTGTTTGATGACATAAAGCTGTTTTTACTTGATTGTTTAGCAAAGTTCGATCAGAATGCACATTTCCCGCGACATTTATTTTTTAAATGGAAGAGACTTGAGTTAAGATACGTGAACCTGAAGAAAAAAATATCATAAGACGATGAGAAAAAATAGTTTTCCTTGGAGCATCTCTCCACTTAGCAATTACAAAACCATAGTTGCTTCCAACTTGTTGGGTGCTGCAAGATACAGGAACCAAACACAAACCACTACTCCTAAAGTCCTTTGCCTTTTGCTCTTGCTTCTCCTGTTATTATTATCATAATTATCAAACGGATAAACAAATTTAAAATTTAAATAAAGTTATAATAATAGCAGTAATGATGATGATGATTGATTCTTATGAAGACTTTTTTTTTCTCTTTTTGGATTACTTATGCAGTTCTAAATTATGCTTTTGATCATTACTTTCATTCACTTAAATGTGTTTTGAATTATGCCTGCTTTGCCTTTCTGAGTTGATTGATCCAATAAAGTTCTACCTGTTCTTTATCTTCAACAAATGCAGAACTTTCTCCATGAACCTTTAATTATAAAAAAATTGCCAATTAATTATTTACATATAATTGCATTGGGAAATGGGGTTTAGTTATTCTATCACGTAGCTTCTCCTTTCTCACATGGATTTATATCATACCATACAAAATACACTGATTAATTTATTAATTTATAATATTATAACTTTTAACATGTTGTCCTTTAATATATTCATTAATTAAACAGTTTTCTTACTAAAAAATGTTGTTTGTTTATTACAGATATCATGCCGAGGAGAAAAATAAGTGATTTGCGGATTGTTCGAGCTTCTCAAGAGTATGAACAAACAAATAACGAGGAATTGAATGTTGTTGACTCTTTGGAAGTTCCTATTACTGTTGAAGAAGTTGTAGAAATTCAAGGTAATGTTCGACACTTTATTTAATTGTTTGTTCATTTTGAAAACTTACATTTAATAATTTTTTATATAGTTGAAAATGCTGGACCACACAAGACTAGAGAACGTACAACGTTGAAGGAATTATACCAACTTCCTCTTGGGCACCGTGTCAAAGTTTTAAGAAATGATGTCGGTCAACTTATTGGCCCATAAGCACGTCTTCTGTCCGGTTACTTAGGCATAGTTGGACGTAATGTTAATCTTTTACCGATCAATTATGAGTCATGGCGTGAAATGCCTAATAGTAACAAAAATCAGGCTTTGGATTTTGGTAAGATAATAATGTTATTATAATAGATAATCTATAACAATTCAATAGTAATTTATACTTACTTTGAACACTTATTTTATGTGTAGGAGAATTTTTCTTTAGAAGTCTCTGACGATTATTTGAAGCAAGCGTTAGGGAAGAGATGGAGAGACCACAAGAGTTCATTAAAAAACAAATACTTCAAGAATGATCTCAGCCTTGAAGAGAAGCTACAAACTATCCCACCTGAAATACTCAGGTATCAATGGGAAGATACTGTCAGATTTTGGAGTTCACAGAAAGGACATGTATGATGTATTTTTCAATAATAATATTAACGAATTATAATTTTGACTTTATATATGCATGTTTGAAATTGTAGGATCGAGAGCATGTTGGTATTCCTAGCAGGCAACAACAAAAGTTTACTCACACGACTGGATCGAAGAGCTTTGTTTGTATAGCTAATGATGAGGTATTATAGATTATTCACATAGTGATTTGTATTCCCATGTACATACTAACGAAATTAATTATATTATGCTACATTGTAGGAAAATACATTTGGTTCTAAACTTGGACGAATCAAACTCTTCGACATGACACATACAAAAAATGATGGCAACCCTATGGCTGCTGAAGCTACAGAAATTATAGTACATTTATTGGACAGAGGATTTGAATTATGTATTATTTATATGTATAGTCTGACATTCTTATTTGAAATAATTATTTACTTTAATATTAGGAAAATTGAGGGATAAAAGGGAGAAGTATGAAGCTACGGCTTCAAGACATGGTCTTGTTAATGTGCATGACATCAAAAATAAAGTTATTAAAGATGTTTTGGGTCCTGAAAGATATGGTCGGGTTTGTTGTCAAGGATCATTCACTACTCGCACTAAATATTTTGGATCATGTTCATCTCAGTGCATGTCATCACAGTCTCAGTCTTCCCAATTAGAAGTTAGTCGTTTAAAACAGTAGTTGGTTGAAATGGATCAAAAAATGGCTAACATGAAAGCCAAAAATGAAGTGAGGGAAGCAGAGAGAGAAGCAACATATCAGCAGAAATGTCAAGAATTTGAAAATCGACTAGAAGCTATGATGCAAATGATACGAAAAACTCAACCTCAGAGTCCACCATCTTAGGTCTTATTTCTGTTATATGTTTTGTTCATGATTCTTAACAATGTTGAATTGCATTACCTATTACGTTAATGTAAACTTTTATTTACTATAATGGATTTGAAGTTGGTTGTTATGGAATTAAAGTTTGTTATTATAGATGTCATGTTTGTTGGGTAATGGTACAGGTTGAAAATGTAATTATGGATAACAGAAGAGCGGAAATCAATGGTTGTAAATTCTGTATTAATTAGCGGTGTTTGTATAAAAAATGCCACTAAATACATAATCAAAACCGGCATTTTACAAAAGAAAGCCACTAAATTTTTAGATAATTGGAAGCATTTATGACTAAAAACAGCACTATAAAATTGTCAATAATGGCTTTTCACTATAAAAACGCCGCTATATGTCGTGACCTTTTACCGGTTTTGTTTTGAAAAAAATGTAACTATATGTCACAACATTTAGCAGCGGTTATTTTAAAACACCACAAAAGAACAATATATAGAGAGGTGTTTCCTAATAACACCGTTAAAAGTCATTATCTTTAACAGTGTTTATGGAAGAAATGCCGCAAAAAAATCATAACCATTAGCGGCGTTTTAGACTAAAAACTCCTCCACCTTTTGCAGTGTTGGTTTCAACGGCGAATTTGGCGGGTTTTTTTTTCGCCACAATTGTTTTTAGCGGCGTTTAAAAACGCGTTATATGATTAAAAAACGCCGCTAAAAACCTGTTTTGCTGTAGTGGTTTACAAACAAGGAAATGTTTTTCAAAGTTATGTAACACCTGTGATTTGTGTACGAAAACGTATTCAAGAAATGCGTGTTACAATATATATATAGACTTGAAAAGAGGCAAAGAGCTCTAAGAAGTTGCATCAAATTTAACATGAGGGCCAGTGATGTCCCTTTGAACCAACCGAAGAAGGGAAACAGGAGCATCAAAAAACCTGTGCATTTCATAATCATGGAAAGGGACAAATATTTCCATGCTATCAGCGACCATATTACCTTTGCGGGATACCCAGAGGAATTCAACATACCAACTACGACAGCACATCATAGAAATGGCTCATATAAGAGGAAGCAAGTCACGATCTGCATGCAGATTGCTAAGGAGACGAATTGCTTGTAGACTATCTGATTGAACATGCAGTAATTCTATTCCATGGTTCCACGCTTCATGCAAACCAGGATAGATACCCCATAACTCAGCTTGAGGGGCGTGCTAACGCCAATCGCTTTGTGAAAGCCAAAGAGTCAAACTCCATTGGTTGATTGAGCAAATTAGAGAAATCAATCGGGAATGGATTATCGAAGTTGTTACATTGAAGATGAAGAAATTACAACTTTCTCAAATTAAAGAAATCAAAAGGAAAATGGCTGAAGAATTTTCATTTCAATGTATAGGAGAAAAGACCAAATCCAAGAAGCAAATCCTAGAGAAAATGTACTGAAGCAAAAAATAGCTGCTTTTGTTACTTTCCTTGTTCACTTCTTACAGTTATTCGAGTTACTATTCGAGTTGTGAGACTCGACTCAAACATGAAATCAATTCACTAAAAATTTTGAGCTATTCGAGATACAATTCGAGTTGTATTTTATAGCTCGACTTCAACTTGAATTTTTTTAGTCAAGTCGAGTTTATGAAATTACAACTCAAAGTCAATTCGAGTCGTATTTTCTCGGATCAAGTCGATTCAGAAAAATCTATTTTTTGTGTTGAGTTTTGCTCACCCCTACTCGGTTGGGTTCTCTAAATTACATCAGTTCAATCTCTCTTTCATGCATATCATATTTGTTTTTTAAAAAAAATCATGTAATTCATACATTGGTGTTTTTTCTAAAAAAATAAAACTGGGTTTTATTAAATAAGAAGGTAAGGTACACCTACAAGATAACCCCAACATGAAAATCCAATGAGTGTGAAAGAAAGGGAAAAAAAAACTTCTCTTGAATACATACTTTATCTTCTACAAAAATCTAGCAACTATCACTAATATTCCTGTCTCTAGTTAAACCTAGACTCAATATTGATAAAGGCATGGAGATTAAGAAAATCAATTTGATAGATTGCTTTGCAGATGATTCCGAATATATCAACAAATTGTCATAAAAGGAGATCAAATGTGCTTTAAAAGAGGGAAAAAATTAAACTCTTCAAGACTACGAGGAAAGAACGAAATCAAAATGGGGAGGATGTTTATTTGGAGTCCACCCATTTTTTTGCAAGTTTATATGTTATTTTATTTGATGAAAGATTATACATCTCAAAATGTTGGACTATAATGGCAATATGGACGATTAATGCCGCTCTTATTAGAACAAGCAAAGACAGTTTAGGGTTTAAGAGGGAAAAATATTAAAATCACACACCAATATTCCTAGTTGCAGACATGGGGGTTTGCCAAGAGGTAAGATTCAACAGCCTTGTAAACTCCATCCATTCTTTTAATTTGTTCCTTAATTTCATCTTCAGTGAAAGTGGAATCAGCAACGGTGAAAAACTTCATTAAGCTCTTGACAAGGGTTCCTTCACCTGCAGCAGCTGCCACTAACTTGTTCTCGAAAGAGATTTTCTCAAGCTTCTCTCCCAAAGAGCCACCTTCGATCACACGGTAACTGTACGACAAGTTGTCTTGGTCTTGTCCTTCGACCTTGTGCTTCACATACTCGAATGGAAGGTCTGTTCAAATAAATTTAAGTTTCTGTTAAACAAACTAGTTGAATGCATCAGAAAGTGAAAAGTTAAACAAGTAACCTTTAGCAAAGTTGATCTTGACGAGGGTCCAGGGCCACCGTCCCCTTCGAGTTCAACGCTCTTGATTGCATGAGGGGCAGCCTTGGGGAAAAGCTTGTCGGCTTCAAAAACAAGGGCTTTGAAAAGCCTGGCTGGGGAAATTGGAGAGGTAACCTCGAACTCATAAGTCACAGCACCCAGTCTGCTAAATTAATTGGGAGTTAAAAAGAAGAGACAAGATGGACGATGGAGCTGTGGGAAGATATCACAACTATACATGGTACTTATAGGCTCATCATGAACCTTGGGAACTTTATTTATTTCAGTTTTTAATTGGATTTATGTCGAATATTGTTACTATTCTTTTTCATTGTATTTGTATTGTACAAAAAATGGCATCTCAGTATTTCTTATTAAATGTGCCAATTGATGACTTAATTTATTTTAATTTTTTAATTGGATTTATGTCCAGTGGATTAGAGAAGACGAAGTGACAGAGAATAAAGCTTCCTTTCCATTTTGTAATATATATATATATATATATCAGTATTTAAAATTTTAATTTTATTTAAAGATCTAATATCTTATCTTACTAAAATATTTTTTTCTTTTAATAGATATCTATTTTAAATTGAATCGAAATTTATTTTTTCATGTATCTTTTAATTAATTTTAATTGTGGACATAATGTCACTAAAAAGCCATTTTTTTATTTACAAAGTAGTTGTCATAAAAGGTGGAAAAGACAAATAAAATAAAACAAAATTATAATCACAGTCAAATTATTTGGGAAGAATTGGAGTATATCTAGAAAGCATGTAGGCTGCTGAAAGCCTAATTGAAATAGATAATATTTAATATGTACTTAGTAATATTACATCATTTTCAAATTCGTATAAGTTTATTATAATTTCATTCTAAAAAAACGAAAATTTCTATCGAATTGATTTTATAGATCTGATTTCGTAATATTATCGTCAAATTCAAATATGTCTTCTGTCCCAAAATTAAAGTTAAAATTTAATCACTAATTTGAAAAATTTTATTTTAAGATATTATATAGTTGTTATCATTATAATATAACCAAATTGGCCTTCAATAAGCAAATTAGTCATTTGTCGATACTCAAAGCTGAATTATGGGAAATTTATGAAGGATTAAGACTTGCGTGGGAGCACGGTTTTGAACGTTTGACAGTGCAAACAGATAGTGAAGATGTTTATAGGTTGCTCTCTTTTCCATCCGATTCTAGTCCTTTCACGTTAGTGAGGTTGATTGCTAGCTTTTGTGCCAAAGTCTGATTCATAGAATTTCAGAAAATCTACCACGAAACAAATGTGGCAGTAGATTACATTGCTAAGATGAACCCCTCTCCATATGGATCAACCATCGTTTTGTCATCGTTTCCAACAGATTTGCTCCGTATTTTACATAGCGACATTGATGACCCCTCTTATCTGCGTGTAAGGACCTAATGTAATCGTTTTAGCTCCACTTTCTACTAAAATATTGGATTAAATTTAGAAAAATATATTAATTGGACCAATATAATTTTTTTAACATAAATCATACATATTTTTTATTTAGGGTAAACTAATTATTTGGTCATCCATCTATTACTTAATTTATGGTTTGATCATTCAACTATTATTTTTTTCAAAATCATACATAACCTTACGTTCATGTAGTATTGGTATTGTTTACTAATTGTGAAAAAATTCATTAAGCTCTTGGTCTTGTCCTACAACCTTGTGCTTCACGTATTATAATGAAAGGCCTATGCCCAAGAGGATCGATCCCTCCCCTAATGGATTGATTCCTAGCTCATTTTTATATATTGTTTTGCAAAGGATTGGTCTCCCGTGAAAAGAGATCGATCCCTTGAGTCTTAAAACATGGTAAATTGGTAAATTTACATTCATTAAGGACCTTAAGTGCTCCCTAAGTCATAAAATGGTCCGTGAACCTTAAAATATATTCAATTTGGTCAAGAAACTTGATTTTGTAATTAAAGCTTGGTTTTAAGTCATATTTGGTTGAAATTTGTTATTTCACTATAACAACACCAATTTCATAATGTAACCTTCAATTTCATGATTTTGTTTTATTTTCATATTTTGAAAAGTTTACATTTTTTATCCTAAACTGAGCATGTTAAATTAGGTCCCTAAATGAAGTCTGATTAAGCTAAACTTTTGCATGCGACTAATTAAAGCTTAATAATGAATATTGGTAAGGTTAATTTGTGTTTTTAATATTTATTCGATAATGATGTATGAAATAATTATTTTACCCCTATAATGTTAATAATGTTTATCTTGCAATGCATGTTCGAATGAATGTTGTAAGCATGATTACTTGATATTTTTGCTGATTTGTATCGTATGATGAATTATTATATTTATTTGCTTCCACTTGGTACGCATGATTAGGGTTTTATATGTCCCACTTGTCTCACAATCTAATGTGCACTCAAAATATATGGGTCATCGTACATGGCTGTCTATAGGGTATTACATTTGGTGATACCATAACTATATTTAAATGTGTGTACGTATGTATCTCGGGGTTTAATTTGGGAACCATATTGCCTCGTAAAAGTTTTGATTTTTCAAGAACTTGCCTTTTATCACCCAATATATTTCTCACTCCAGGTTTGGTTATATGCATAATTTGATTATTAAATTTGATCAACTTGAATTTATTTTCATATGTATTATGATGAGTTATTCGATTCACTGCACTTTGAATTTATCCCTTATAATCTGTTGAGATATTCAATTCTTCACACTTTAGATTTTGATTATGTGTATAATTTGTGGTGATGTAATCATATAGTATGAGTAAATTTATTTGTTGTGGTTTAACACGTTCATATGATGTGGAAGTGTTAATTGTCGGATTGGATAGTTTGGTTGAGTCTAGTGACGTCATTATGATCGTTGTTAATGTCTAGAGTGGTAGTACCTTAGTTGATAAGTTGAGTAAGAAGTGATCATAGGCATTCCTAGGTTTGTATTTCTGGTCAATTGTCGAAACCGTCATTCTGAGGTTACGAAATTGTTTTATGTGTGAATATTAGGTGCATTCAAATCCCGGGTTATTGTGTGTAACTACGCTAGTTTCACGTCGATTTTATTTTTTGTAGTTATCAATAGATTATCTGAATTCCTTTCGTATGTTGATTTGGTGCTGGAGGTGAGTATGTTGATGGATCTTGATTGTGAGTCTGTCTGGCTTGGTTATTTAATTTGGTTCATAATGAGTAGCGTGTATAAGACATTCAAATCATTGGGGGATTTCTAGACGTGTTCCCATAAGCATTTTCTTGTTTTAATCTAATCATGAAGTTGAGTTTCACATCGAGAATTATTGATCTGGCTCCAGTGCATGTTGCTTTTCATTTTGTGGCATCGAAAGAGTTAGAAGGAATGATGTTGGGTTATTATCAGTTGAAGGTTTGTAAGATGAATGTGATAACGACTACTTTTAGAATGTGTTAAGTTCGTTATGAGATTTTGGTGAGGTTGTTCGATGTGGAAAATGTTTCTATTGTTTTTAAGAGTTTAATGGGTCACGCGTTCCTTCTGTAATTCACCTAGTTTGAATTGGGGTTGTCGATGGTCATCTTGTGTACTTTCATATCGAAGAAGAGTAGGATCGTTTTTCTGAGATGTCGTTCAAGTTCATGTCGGAAGTGGTTAGATATGAGTTTTGATCTCGAGTAACGATGTTTCTGGGTCATAGTGTTACAACTAAAGTTAATTGTGTGGGTTTGAACGAGGTTTATGCTAATGTGATTTAGAAGTCATCAAGGAATGCTATCAAATTTTTCTTTTTTGTTGAGTTTCCTTTGAAGGAATGCCTAGTTCGATTGGATCGATGTGATGCAGAGTATCCCTACGAAGATTTAGTTTAAGTTTAATTTGTTGTTTTAGTTGAATTTGGGTATGGGTTATATCTAATGGTGGTTAGTTTGAGTTTTGTGATGTAAATGTTGGTAGGTAGGCTTGAGTTCGTATTGATAATTTTAGTGGTTTCGATTGAATGCTCATGAAGTTATATTCAAGGTTTGTATGGTTAGAAGTGTTGTATTATGTTGTTTCGGATAGAGCATTATTGTGTTATTGGTTTCGATTTGGGTTTACGAGGTAGAAGATAAGTGAAGTTGTTTTAGGATAGTTAAGGTAATGGTTGTCTATCAATAATTGTGTGATGAATTTCGGTATTGTGGGATTTTGTATCGAATAAGTGATTTTGCTTTCTAAAAGGGTTTGTCATGAAAGAAAGCTTAAAATGTGAGTCGTAAGTGGTAGCTTAAACAAGAGGATATTTGGTTCGTATGAGGTTGTTGTGTATATTGGTTTTGTTGCTTGTCTTCTATATCGATCTTTTGAGCTTGAGTGTATCTTTGATATTTTCATGAATCGATGTTAGTGGGTATTGTTTTGATTTGATTGTTTATGTGAATATGATCAAGGTTTATAGATGTCTTTCTTTTGTTAGAGTTATTATGGTTTAGCTCGTCTAAGGGATGCCTTTCGATTAAGAATGATTATTTTGTGTGCTATTGTGGTTTATCCACAACTCCAGGTAAGTTCTTTGTGAATATGATCAAGTGTGACAGTTGTGAGAGTTGCATTTATTCTCTAAGTTAATTTCGAGGACGAAATTATTTTTAGGGGAGAGTGTTGCAACGCTCAAAAATCCGAGTCATTAGTTTTGGGTCGGTAATCGGGTAATTTCTAGGATTTTCAATAAAAATATTATTTTTGAATTTTTAAATTTGAAATATTATTTTTAAGTTTTTAAATTATGTTTTGAATATTATGTTTTTTAGTATTATAAATTGATTTATAAGAGTGATTAAATTGAAAGATTTAAAAGTTTTGATTTAAGTGAATAAATTGTAAAAGGATCAAAATATAAAAATCTATGAAACTAGTTTACCAAGAAATAAAATTCTTCTATTTACCCTTCTTTTTGTTGTGAACTCTAATTCCCCTTTGCCTTGATTTCTAGATAGATTCATTCATCCTTAATTCTTTCTTAATTCACTTTGTAACTACCTTATCATTTCTTTTCATTTTCTTCATCCAAACACTGAGAAAAAAATTTACAATGTTCTCTCCCATGATCGAAGCCCTCTCTATCAAATATTCTCATCTTTTTTCTCATCATTTATCAATTTTATTTTCTTTTCTTCTCCAATTTATCCTTTATTCAATTTCATTTAATTACTGTCCATCGACTTCTCCATTGGTGTTGCCATTGTTTGTTCTTTTTCTTCATTTCCTTTATCTTCTTCATCTTCATTCCTTAATTCCAACAAGGTAACTTCTTAATCTTGTTTCGTTTGAGCTTTAATGATTAAAGGATCCAAAAGACAATGATCTTGATAGATCATTTCTTCCAATTGTGATTCTACAAAATAAAAGTTATTTTCGGAGTTAATTAATGAGCTAATTTTCATGAAGAGATTATAAGTTATTCTTGATGTAATTAATAGGTTTTTAGGATGAATATAAACATACTCAATTAGTTTTTCAATTGTTAATAATTTGGATATCAATTTCCTTAAAAGAAGCTTGATTTTAGTGTTTTTCCGGAAATTTGAGAGTTGTGACAATTGCTTATGTTTGTGGTATTTGATTGTGTTTAGGTGCTGATTTCGAGTATTCTTAATCATCTTTAATTATGGTAAATTATTTCTATTGAGTTAGGAGGCTTAGATCGCATTAACGGTAAGGGTTTCAATCTTTCAATTGATTTTCATTCTGTTTTAGAAGTAAAATTTCTGCTCTATTTTATATGTTTTTGTGAAATGTTGAATTCCTTTATAAGGTTTCTAATGTGTGTATGATTGAGGAAAATTGGTGCATCAATTGTTGGTAGTCATTTGGTTAGTGTTTAGAGGCAAGAATCATCGTTGCGCCATGTAACCCCCTCAGACCGATGCGGGTGGCCCGATCCGATCTGGGGTGTCACATTAGGGCCACCAGAGCGACCCACCGTAAAAATATCAGAAAAATTAACATTTTTATTAAAACATGTAAAATCATAAAATCATTTATAAATACAAAAGTAAATTTTACCAATATTCATAAATAAAATAGATTTTCGGACTAAGATATAAAAACAAAATGCAACCTACATGCCCCCAAAACACATACACCGTACTCTGTGAGCAACACTGGTGGAACTCCCCCACTCAAGTCGATAGCTGCACACAATTCTTTTAACCTGAAATGGTGAGTAACAGAGTGAGCTTTGGAAAGCTCAGTAATACAATACTACCAGTTGATGCTACAGGACATGCAGAAAAATGTAGAACATTAAAATTCCTTATTGAATCAGACGTACAAGTTTTCGGGATAAGCTGGGGTTCCACTGGTAGTTCATCGAGTAGAAGCCATGAAGATCTCAGTTCATATGAAACAT